TGAGCGAATTTTGATACGGAAGAAGAGAAAAACCGTCTGATAATTTGAAGCAAGTCACGCGGTCGACTGCTTATCTTGGTCTAGAGGAGACGAGAAAAGGTAAAAGTTTAAATGAAATAAAAACTTGCAGGAGATAACAGCTGTTCCGGGGCAAAACAAGGCGTCCCTTTGTGTTCCCTGGTCAGATGTGATTTACGCTTCTCCGTTGTTTCTCCCACTGGTGTTTCTCCACGGGATCAGCTGGACAGAGAGAGCAAAGTTTCTTTGTGCTGAGTTTGACAACTTACAGCGAGCTTGATGGAGCTGGAGTTCCTTTTCCAGCGGTTCTGTGTTTGATCTGCTCCAGCAGCCAGCCTCCCGCTGGCTCACGTTGATCAGAGCAGCAGCAACAGCGCGTCCTTTACGGCCAGTGAACTGGGCATAAGAACAGTTAAGTTTCGTTTTTTGCTGAAACTTATAGTTTTTGAGCTGGTTGTTGTGGTGACATCATCACCTTGCTTCCCTATGCAAAGCATCATGGGAAATGAAGTGTCTCTGGTGCTGATGTTATTATCTGCTTTTTCAGAGCAATTTAAGCACAGTCTTTTTGGAGAAAATCACTGCATAGTAATTTCCTCATGAGGGCATACCCTCAACATTCCCCCTTTTGGTTTCGGGGATCGTGCCCAAAGCTCGATCGTCGGAAGCACAGATGGGTTTGTTCCTCATGACGTTGGTCGACTTGGTTGTCGGTCGACTTGATTGTCGGAAGCACAGATGGGTTTGTCCCTTAGGAACGTTGATCTCCTTGGACGCCTTTGTCTTTGGTCTTTGGTCTTTGTCTTGGATCCTGGCGCCTTTGGCCTTTGTCTTTGTCTTGGATCCTGGTCAGCACAAAACAAAAGAGGATAGGAAACGGGATAGTCCCCAACGCGCATAACGAGAAGAAGCCACCCACGCAGGTGGTACGCAATGATGATGTCGTCCATGCGAAAGGTAGTAGTAGAAGGAGGAAGGTCGGTGGGCGGTTGACTCCACGAGGGGACACAAGGGCATCCGTCAGGGATAAAGGGTCATCTCACCGCCGGCCATACAGTTCAGTTCATGGAGCACGCGGTGATGTACGAGGTCCATAGTTCGCAAACGCGCATTGACCTATGTGGTCCCAAGATTCCCCCCTTTTTGGTCCAAAGGGTGGTTCAGGACAGTCTTTGGGCTAAAACAAGGACCATAACTAAGAGGTAGTACAATGTGCTGGGTGGCAGACAGAGTCATTGACAGACTGAGCTGGGCCAGCACATAACCACTAGCTAAAATGTGACCAAGTAAGAAACCAAAAATACAGAAAACCCCAAAAAAACATATCATAACATCCAAGAAAATTCACAGCAACCTTGAGGTCTCATAAAATACATTCTTAAGTAATACTTTCAGTGTGTAGCATATAAAGAATGTAACATAATGCAACACTCAGTTAAAATGTGAGGTAACTAAAGTGAAACTACTCTTAGGGTTACAGAATAACAAAGAAAACGTTGCTCACCCCCTTTAGACCGGTGTGGTACATTCATGCTTGGAGTTTCCCCGAACGCGGTTACGAGGCACACCGTAGGTGAGCAGGTGCATCTTATCTTGGAGTTTATTAACAAGCCTGTAGGCGGAATAAGCTATCACGGCCGTGACGAGCCATCCCAGCCCCAGGGCAACCAATGTGCAGATTAAGGTGGTATAATCTGTGTCTATGTAGCGTCTTGGGTATCTATTCATGGGCGTCAGAGTAAGTTCACGTGGGGTTTGTGTGAACTTAACAAGTTTGGTTCCTTCAATCAGAAGTTGTTGGTCAATTTCTAAATCGATGGTAAAGTTATAACCCTGGAAAGCGTCCATGATCTCAATCTCCAAATCAAGCTGTTCGAGGTTGAGGTGATGGAGTGCCAGGTTGCTAGTTCAAAGTGGAAATGCCTACCGTCCTTTCAAATACCAATGTTCAGCATCGACTTAAACCTATAGATGTGAGGTGTCACAATTATGGGAACATGTAACAGGAAACTGAGTTCTAATTTTCTGCATCAACGTGAATGGGAATTGCACTGCCTAGGCTGTACACTAGGTGGATTTGTGAAAGGTGCACAGTAGAGGTGTAGCAGCTGTCAAACTATCTTTGAGCAGGTCCAGTGGTACCAAGTACGTGGAAATGCAACCTTCAACCAGGCTGTCTAGAGTAGAGCTCATTTCCCTGAGCAGGTCCCGCATCAAATCTCTCACCACTCGTGTGTACACAATATCCTGATGTATGGTGTCAGACAAAGTCTTGATTGCACGTAGAGATTCATTAATCAGAGCAGAATGTAGGTTAACAGTTACAAGAGTACCCTGTAAGGTTTTAGTAAGAGCTTCCTGTTTGCGGTCTAGGAGGAGGAGGTTCTCTTGGTTAGTGAAAGGGACGGCGGGGGGGGGGGGCTTTGTTCTTTGTCGGTTAGTACATGTTAGTGGGTTAAACATGCACTTCCCCCCTTTCCATATCCATGCATAGAACTATGTGGAGACTACGTCCACCTCCTGCGGGGAGTCTGGTCTCTGTACCCGCGGGGACGGTTTGATGTAGGGTTTGATTTGGTTTGCATGCACCCATTTGTAGACAGGCTCCTGTCTTGCTTTGGTGATGCGTAACCTGTATGCAACTGGAGAGAGTTTTGCTTGTTCAGTGCACGATAGTCTATGGTGAGACGCCATTTCCCAGTCGGTTTCAGAACCGGCCAGATGGGAGAGTTGTAAGTGAAGTTACACTCTCTGATGATGTTTTTCTCCTTCAGCTGATCGAGGATCTCCTGGATCGACTCATAAGCAGCGAGGGGAATCTTGTACTGGCGTACAAAAGTAGGAGGGGCATTCGGGTTCGTTGGAATGCGAACCGTGTGCAGATTTGTGAGTCCACAGTCCAGGGAGTCCCTGGATAAGATGGACTGAAAGTCATAGAACAGGCTCTTAAGCTCTGCTCTCTGCTCCTCTGATTCCAGCGCATCCGCTATGTCAAGCTGCTGGCTGACTTCGGCCTCAAAGCCGTCATAAGGTTCAGAGGAGGAGGGTCTCTGGGGTTCCGGGCTTTCAACCGGTGACCCAGATGGTTGAGTGTTTATTGCAAAAACCGTTAGACACTGACCGCCGTCAGTATCTAAGGTTGCACTGCAAATGGGTTCCTCAGGAAGGGCTTCATGCCGCTTGATGGTAATCATTTGTGAGGGGAAAGTACTGAATGTGTCTGCACCAACCTGTCTGTCGTTCAAGAACAAAGGAAGTTGTCCGATCACGGGGACTGAAAGTTCGAAGTCATGGAATGAGCCATCTATCAGCATGCCCAAGGGCTTTCCTGTCGGCATGTGGATAGGACTCCGTGTCGGATTTTCGACCAGCAAGTAGGCAGAACGATTGTTCTGCTCCAAGAGTGGCGTGCCACAGACGGCTAAGTTGAGCTCCAAGAAATGTGGTGATGGCTGGAAGAAGGCTTGGGTGCCTGGCAGCTTCTGATGCTTCATCAGAGTCAGACGAACAGGCACTCCTTTGACCTGTGGGGGCAGAACCGTGCTGGCCTCCACCACTGCACGGCAGGCCTGTGGAATGGTCTGACCGGACAGCAAGTGTTCAGGGCCTTCTGAGCGAGGCTCAGAGCATGGTGTGGCCCGGGCCCAAAGGACTTGATTGCAAGTGTCCAGCTGGGCACCTAGTCGAACCAGCAGATCTGCTCCAATGAAAGCAGGTGGATCAAGCTGTGGTATGATGCTGAATGAATGTGTGAGCTGTCTTGCTCCAAGCTGGAGAGTCAGAGAGCAGACCTCTGGTGCTTTCAGGAGCCTCTGCGGCCAAGTAGCTGACAAGAGTCGATGACTATGTGTCACACTGACCAGAAGGGGGTCCCTCTGACGCAGGTGTTCAAACGTCTGCTGGCTGATGGCTGACTTTTCTGACCAAAGAGCAAGGCGAGCATCTGAGATGTGGGTGCAGTTGATGGTGAGACCACCAACTATGTGTGGTGCATATGGCTGCAGGCTGACATTCTTCAGCGAGCAGAGAAAAGATGAATGTGTGTGGAAAGGAGTTCCAGGAGCGGTTTCGTGCCTTTGCAGGCGGTCATCGTCTGTGGGAGCCGTAGGGAGGGGCATGACCTTGGAACAAGGGTTTTGCGGCTCACTTAGGCTGACTTCAAGAATGGAGGATGGTCGGCTGCTATCCGGGTTCCAGGGCTTAGGTGTGTCCACCTGGGCCCACAGTTGACCCTTCTGGCAGTCGATGAGGGGAGCTAGACGTTCAAGCAGGTCCTGACCAATGAGAAGTGGTTCAGTGTCTAGCTGGCAGACATAAAACGGGTGAACCAGAGTCATGTCTTGGAAGGTGATGTCCAGCCACGCCCGGTGAGTGATACACTCCCGGGTCTGGGTGTAGCTGGTGATTTTCAGGTCACAGGGTTCTACCTGGACTGGTTTCCCGAGCGACCGCATGGTGTCAGACACACGACGGAACAGTGTGGAGCACATCAGGGTGATTTCTGAGCCGGTATCCAGCAGAGCATCAATCTGTATGCATCCACCTACGTTGGTGCTACAGTACAAACGGCAAGCATGATCATGGTTTGTTAAGTCACCAAGGAACTTCAGAAATTTAGTATCAGGTTTCTCTGGGGGGTAGATTTCAGGAGACTCCTGTGACCTACCAGTAGTGTTCCCCCAGCTGATCAGATAGGTCTTGGCCTCTCTGGGGGGTTGAGCCACGCCTAGTCCTGTGGACGGTGGCTCTGGGTCTGGCTTCTTAGAAGAAGACTTTGGTGCAGGGGTCTCATCTGCGGATCTCAGCTGTTCCTTTTGTTTAGCTAGGAACTGCTGGAACATTTCCTGGAGGTCGGTTTTGGTCAGGGACTCATCCGCGGACTCGCGTTCAGGACTTACCTGTGGGCGGCGCTCCTTAAACTTACCTTTGTTCCGACCTGCTTGCCGGTGGTTTTGGTTGGGCCACTTCCTGTCTGATTGTCCAGACCTAGGCGGCCAATCAGCACCCCCCTTTCCCCGTTGAGGAGATTGGGACTGCTTTTGCGGTTTAGCAGGTCTAGGTTTAGCAGATTTTGGCTTAGTGGGTGGAGCTTCTGTGCCTTCGAGCTCCAAACGCGGCTCGGCGTCGGGAGCTAGGTGCATGACGCGGTGATGTGCATCAGGCTTTTGGGGCTTTCCGCCGGCTTCCCAAGCCTGTTGAGCGTATCTCCTAATCCCCTGCATTGTTAGTTTTTTCATCCGACAATACATTGAGACTTTGGATCGAACACACTCGTGCAGGTTGTGAATGAACAGGGATCTGAAGGCAGGGTCTTCTTCGAGCCCAGGGCCGTTTCGACCTTGGAAATAAGCACTTTTGAGTCGGCGATAATACTCTCTGGGGGGTTCGTTCCTCCCGTGTTTGATGGAGAAGGCCCCCATGGTAACTGACGCAGAGTCTGCATACGTGGCGTATTCATCCCTCAACGCTCGGCAGAGCGAGGAGTACCAATCTCGAATGTCAGGTGGTAGAGTTTCCATGAAACCGTGCACCGTTCTAGATGTGGTTTTCCAAATTAGCTTGAGCTTTTCCCTTGAAGATGGTGCTGGAAGATCAAGCAGACAACGTTCTATCTCCCTGAGGGAATCGTCGACGTTGGATTCATTGGTGTTAGGATCAAAGCGTTCTATGTCTTTAGCTAGCGATTCAATTTGACGTACACGGAGTCCTGACTCACGGTACAGTGCGTCATCCTCTGACTCTGACCCATGGTCTGTCTCAGAGGGCGCTGGATATCGCTGGTGTGCTCTGGGCTCCCAATGTTGACTCCTGGGGCCCAAATCGGGGTTCGGCATGCTGTGGCGGGCTGCTGGCACGTCACGTGGGTGTCCTGGGAGGTCCTCCTCCCGGGGCACGTCTGCGTAGTGCAGCCTGCGTCTTTCAACTGGGGCTTCTGCGTAATACGCTCTGTCCGGGTACGGACTGGCGTAGGATGCTTTGTCCTGCAGCTGGTTACCGGCATGCCGAATACCGGAGTAGCTAGGATGGGTAGATGGTTGAGGTGCAGGTTGGGCTTGTGCATAACCCCAGCCGGCACCTTGCGCCCTTCGTGGACTGGGGGAGCGGTCTAAATAGAGGTGCCGCTCAGCTGGTCGACTTCTCACTGACTGAGAAGGCCGTGAAGATGAGGGTGGTGGTCCAACCTGGGGTTCGAGGGCGAACTGCCCTCGGCCCCTAGGTGGTCCTGAATGCCCTATAGTGTGTGTAGGGAACGGGGCCGAAGGTTGGGACAGATGAGCTTCATCTCTCCCCTGCGGCGTGCGTCCGTCCAGAGAGTCCCACACTACATACTGTTGATTATCGTACAGGGATGTATCAGGAGGTGGGCTACCAGGTAAGTTGGAAAGGTGTGGCCTACCTTTATGGCGGGACGGCGGTCCCTCGCTTCCTCGGGTGGAGGAAACCAATTGCGGTTTGGCGACCGTCCTGGGCAGACCCTGGTTGGCTTTGCCGGCTTGCTTCCGTACCGGTGTGGGAGAGGACTCTGGCTCAGCCTCAGAGTCTTGGTGTATCCCCCCTTCCCACTGTCTGTTCTCATCAGCAGAGGGGGGCGGGGTCTCCTCCCCATCTTCCCCAGAATCTGTGCTGGTGTCGTCTTCCTTGATCAGCCTTCCATTTCGCTGTTTTTCAGCTAGCATACTCTGGAGGTTCATGACCTTCTGACGACGTTGAAGGTCCCTCTGATAGAGGATCAAGGCTAAATTAGCCAAGGGCACCTGAATTGGAACATTACCATCCGGGTTTTCTATTTTACCAATTACAGCTTCTAGCTCATCGCTACGCTGTTCTTCAGTGAAATCCCTAGAAGGGTAGTCGGGTTCTCGAGCAACTGCGACCAGTTTGGACAATATTTGTCCAGAAAGTAGGCCAGGTTCACATTCGTGGGCCGCAGCGCCACCTGGTTGCTGGGAGTTGGTCAGTTCACTACTCTGTCCCTCCATTTTAACAACCGAACCAAAAATAGCCTAGTAGAGCTTCTGCAGATAGCTCAAAGCTGCACCTTTTGGCAGCAACTGCTAGCTTTGTAGCAGAAAAACACTAAATTAACCTTTGTGCGCACAGGTTTTAGCGTTTTTTAAATTGCACGGAATGCCGTGACTGACGCTTAAAATACTATTCCTTTCAGTATTTTAGCAAAAGCTGGTGCGTTGCCGTAGCAACGTCTTACAACACTTGCAGTGTTAAATGTGCTAGTTATTCCTTTCAGAATATTAGCAAACAGGGTGTTATTAGTCTTTGAGTGAAGGTTTCAGTTAGTTATAATAGCCACTGTGAGTTAAAGTCGCTAAATTAGCAGTTAATTTTAGCCTAAAAGGGTTAGACACAATCACCTACATGCTGCACCTTTAATGAGGAACTGAATTTTAACCTAAAAGGTTAGCCAGAAATTATTACACGTTGCACCTTTAAGGAAAAAACTAAATATTTACCTAAAAGGTCAACCAGAATTAATTTACACGTTGCACCTTTAAAGAAGCACTGAGTTACTGGTGAGAGTTCGATGCAGCTTCCTGCTCAGCAAACCCAGCACCACTCTGTTGCTGGTTCAAGGCTGAACAACTGATTATTTTTAATTCAAACTAAAGATTTATTTGTTTGTTTGTGTCAGATAAAAATCTCTGTGTATCCCGCCTCACACGGGCTGCACCAATTATGTTGGGGTAATTAGGAGCGAGTAATTAGTAATTAATTAATTAATTTTGGATTCTTCAATAAATTCTGTAAATATGGGAATATTTACAGATGTATTAATGAATTAAGATACTCTTTAGGTATCCCGGGGCACCATCCCCTTTTACCGGGGAAAAATTGAATCCAAAACTCTTATCAGTCAATCAAAAAGTGTGGAATCCGTCAGGAGCAGAGACTTTGAATCGACACAAGAAATCTATTGGAGACAAATCTGAATTTTATAACATTTAATTAAACAAGGAGATTAATAATGCTAAACATTTTTTTAATTGAAGATGTGTGTGTGTATGATGTCCCACAAACACTAGAAACACGCATGTGTGTGTGTGTGTGTGTGTGTGTGTGTGTGTGTGTGTGTGTGTGTGTGTGTGTGTGTGTGTGTGTGTGTGAGAGAGAGATCAATGAATGCTTTGTTTTAGAGCAGGTGTGTGGGGAGTGTGTGTCCTTGGAGTTGTGTGAGCTGTAAGCTGACTTTCCTCTCTCAGATGCAGACAAAAGGGAATTAGCTTGCATTTAGTGGCTTAAAAATCACAGTAAAACTTAACTGTAACACTTCAAAAGTTGACAAAACAACAAAGGTCACTCGTAAATTATCTATTCTAAAAGAGAAGTCGACCAGCCTGGCCAGAGCTGACCGACAAAAGATATTAACGATGATCAATAAACAGTTTAATCTCTACCAAATAACCCTGTGAGCGGATTTTGATACGGAAGAAGAGAAAAACCGTCTGATAATTTGAAGCAAGTCACGCGTTCGACTGCTTATCTTGGTCTAGAGGAGACGAGAAAAGGTAAAAGTTTAAATGACATAAAAACTTGCAGGAGATAACAGCTGTTCCGGGGCAAAACAAGGCGTCCCTTTGTGTTCCCTGGTCAGATGTGATTTACGCTTCTCCGTTGTTTCTCCCACTGGTGTTTCTCCACGGGATCAGCTGGACAGAGAGAGCAAAGTTTCTTTGTGCTGAGTTTGACAACTTACAGCGAGCTTGATGGAGCTGGAGTTCCTTTTCCAGCGGTTCTGTGTTTGATCTGCTCCAGCAGCCAGCCTCCCGCTGGCTCACTTTGATCAGAGCAGCAGCAACAGCGCGTCCTTTACAGCCAGTGAACTGGGCATAAGAACAGTTAAGTTTCGTTTTTTGCTGAAACTTATAGTTTTTGAGCTGGTTGTTGTGGTGACATCATCACCTTGCTTCCCTATGCAAAGCATCATGGGAAATGAAGTGTCTCTGGTGCTGATGTTATTATCTGCTTTTTCAGAGCAATTTAAGCACAGTCTTTTTGGAGAAAATCACTGCATAGTAATTTCCTCATGAGGGCATACCCTCAACATCCATAACAACATGTGAGACGGTTCTGTCCATCTCTTTGGCCGAGAAGGGTACACACCCTCCTCCACCTTCTGAACCTGCACGTAACTTAGTCGCAGCAGCAGGTCCTGCAGAGGCAAAACATGCCACAACGGTGCGTCCAATGACACCAGTGACCTCGGCGAGGTCTGGTGTGTTCACTTCCGTTAGCGCTGGTCCTCTAGCATCCAAAGCACCTGCCACCAAATCCGGTTAATCCTAGCTCACCGGCCAAACTTCCACCAAGGTTTCTCTGCAATATCATCTGTGAGGGTCCTAATGAGAAACCTCACATTCCGGTGACCCTGGAGGGGGCGCTTGGCTGTGAGGGTATCTTGGACTCTGGTTCAGACCTCACCATCATGTCCCGTTCTCTTTGGGAGCAAGTTCGCTTGGCTGCGGCTGGACGGGGTCCTGTCTTAGAGCTCATGCCCTGCGCCGTGGACATCTGTCCTTACTCTCCAGCCCAAATGACCTTGTCGAATGTAGTGTTCCTTAGCATCTCAGTGAGTGACATGTCCATGAGCCATCCAGTGTTTGTGTCTGACATCGAAGCTTTTCCTTTCCTGTTGGGGGAGGACCTGCTTCAACGCTTTAAGACTGTCATTTCATTTGGTGATTGGAAACTCCAAACTCGGTTGACTCAACCAATGCCCATGGTGCCTCATGAGGACCTCATTCCCTCTTTAGGTGTTGTTAAATACAATGGCGCCGCTAGAGTGACCAGTCGATCCAGTACCTCTAAGGTCAGTGCCATCCACAGTGTATGCGTCGTCTCTGCAGCAGAATCACTTCACCCTGTGGTGGGAAAACCACCTACCCTAGGGGGGGTTGACAGTTGCAGTGGCACTCCACCTGAGAGTCCGCATCCTGCAGTGGGAACATTACCTGCCAAAGCGGTGGTTGATGGTGGCGCTGAGACTCCAGCTGAAGCCCAGCACCTTGCGGTGGGGACCCCACCTGCCGAAGGGGGGGCTGATGACTTCACTGATCCTACTCCGCTACAGTTGGCGCTGGTGACCTCTAACCCTGAGGTGGGTGACTCATCTACCAAAGGGGAGGTTGAATGTTGCCCTGTACCACTACTGGCTGACCCTGATCTCTCTAATAGCACCTGCGCGTTGACTGAGGGCCTTACCGAGCGCACACCTGCGCCAAACTCTCGCAAGGCCACGCCTGCGCCAGTCTACAGTCTAATGTGTCCATGGTTTCAGTTTTCAGGACTGACAAAGTATCTTTTGCTAGTTGCGTGTGTCTGTCTGATGTCAAACGCGGCTAAGCTTCCTCCACAGCCTCCTCTAACGTGATTGTATGAACCTGGGCCCTCTTCGGGTATCACTCTCCGAGAGCACCCAGGTCTATTAATGTCTGTTCACACAAAAGATTTTTGTTAAATTTGACCCCGCTATGGCGTGTACTGACAAAATGATGAGTGCCTTTGACAACCTCTCGGAAACCGGAGCCCACTGGACTAGTACCCTGATGCGGCACTCAGAAGCTGACGTCTCTCACATACTACTCCAGGCGTTTAAATTCACGGTTTCAAAAATGATCTTTTGGGTACCAACGTTAGAGAGAAGTGTTTCCTGGACTGGGTTTTCTCAGTAGCTAATACAATTGGCTCTCTTTTGAATTTCGGATTCTCCTCAGTCAACTCGATCGAGATCAACACAGTTCGACGCCATGTTGATGCGCTTCACAGAGATTTCCCAGCCCTGCATAAGCAGGTACTGCAACAACAGCGAGCTTTGAGACAGCTGGGCACGTCTGAATGCCAGACTATGGTGGTACTCAACACTCATAGCAACATTTTGCGTAAAACAACTTCCGCTGTGAATGAACTGCGTTCTTTCGTGAATGTTGATTATGCTCATACACAGATGCTGACCACTTGCCCGTCTAACTATGGTCAGAACATGAGCGCCTTGGCTGACGCCCTCCTCGTGGGGAGGATCCCTCCTTACCTCGTGTCCTTGGCCATGGTCCAGTCTGCGATTGCTCGAGTAAGAACGACTAACCCAGTTGCCCTTCAGACTCACTTGGCTTTCTTGTTGGGCAGTGCTATCCCGTTACGGGTCGATCCAGATGCTAGGGAGCTAGCTTTCATCATCAACTTACCTATCGTGTCTCCAAGGGACATATATAGACTAAAAGATGTGGTCAATGTAGGTAATTGGGTGGACGACACTCACGTCAAGTTACATACGCCATCTGTCGTTGCATTCCACGAGGACACGCCGAACGTCCGGTTGATTCCGGATCTGCGCATGTTCTCTCACACGTAGCTTCCACTTCTTTTGTCCAGGCACCCCTTTTCTGCAAGGCGGAGCCACTGGTACGTGTGGTATAGATGAGTTGTCTGGAGATTCTAAATGTCCTATGACTGTAACTCCACGTATGTGGTTCAAACTACGGCTGTTGTTGTTGGTGGACGTTGGTTGGTTAATACTCCTGCTCTTGAAGTGGATGTTTTCTATGAGCATCATGGTGTGTCCACGCGTGTTGTGTGTAACGTGAGGAAATATGGGTTTTCTGTCACAAAGGTGGTGTTGGACTCAGCTGGGTCAAAGCTGGGTCGCTGAGAATTTTCACCCACAGATTAAGACCTGAATGCCAGCGAGTCTGGGAGGAAACCATAACATCTGCCACCTGCAGCTTCGTGTCAGAAGATGTTGTTCCTACAGAAGATGTTGTTCCCATGGAAGTAGTCATAACACAACAAAGTCTTAAACTTCCTTTCTTGATTTTAATGTTAAAGACTAATCATTATCATTTTGCTCATTATAAATGTGTTTTAATCAAATGAATGATTCTTATGCTTTGGGTAATTATAATGGATTAATGAATCCATACTTAACTAAATAATGTTTGAGGATGTTTGTTATCGACCTTCACACACACTCAAGCACACACACACTCAAACACACCCACACACAGATTCTCACAGTAAACTCCAAAACACATTTGCTGACGCACACGTTTGCTTTGAGAAGAGAAAGGTTTTTGGTAAGTTTCAGTCTTATGATTTCAGTTTGCGCTTGACAATGAAAGAGAGAGGACGTGTGAACAATCGCTAACGGGGGAACGGAGCCCACCGGCTCAATTCCCCCCACCCCCTCTCACGCTGTTCCTGCCAAGCCAGACAGGACAGCTGAATCGCAACTTCTAACGCAGACTCGTCCAGAGTTTTTGATTTCTGAGTGAATTAAACTTAACAAAGCGCATCGACAAAACGCTTTATCATCACGTGTACCGAGGTCATCTCCTGGACCGGGTCGCAGCACGCCTTCATCTTCTCTGCCAGCCGAGGTGTCACCCCTGGATGAAACATCGTCCTTTGACGTCCCGGGTCCAAGAGGAGGGTCCGAATACGGTGAGACAGAACACGAGAGAGAGCGTTGATGC